AAAAAAAAAAAAAAAAAAAAATAGAAGTTTAACTCTATGATTCAGCAATTCCACTTCAAGGTATATACCCAGAAGAATTGAAAGCAGAGTCTCCAAGATATATTTGTATACCCATGTTCATAGTAGCATTATCTGAAATAGCTAACATGGAAATAATCGAAGTGTCCATCTAGAGATGAATGAACAAGCAAAATGTGGTAGATACACACAATGAACTATTATGATTCAGGCTTAAAAAGGAAGGAGATTTCGTAGTATGCTACAACATGGATGAAACTTTAGGACATTATGCTAAATGAAATAAGTCAATCACAAAACAACAAATACTGTATGACTCTACTTATTTAAGATAATGATAATAGTCAAAATCATAGAGACAGAAAGTAGAATGGTGGTTGCCAGGGACTAGAGGGAGGGGTAAATGAGGAATAATTGTTTAAGTGGTATAGAGTTTCAGTTTTACAAGGAGAAAACAATAAGATATATGGTGGTGATGGTTGAACACTATAAATGTATTCAGTGCAACTGAACTGTACACTTAGCAATGGTTCATTTCATCCATTTTATTTTATGTTCTGTTTTTTGTTTTTTAGAGACAGTGTCTTATTCTGTCACCCATGCTGGAGTGTAGTGATATGACTGTAGCTCACTGGAGCCTTGACCTCCTGGGCTCAAATGATCCTCCCATCTCAGCCTCCCAAGCAGCACCAAGGGCTGGGTGTGGTGGCTCATCCCTGTAATCCCAGCACTTTGGAAGGCCAAGGTGGGCAGATCACTTGAGATCAGGAGTTCAAGACCAGCCTGGCCAATATGGCCAAACCTTGTCTCTACTAGAAATACGAAAAAAGTAGCTGGGCATAGTAGCATGCACCTGTAGTCCCAGCTACTCAGGAGGCTGAAGCAGGAGAATCACTTGAATCCAGGAAGCAGAGGTTGCAATAAGCTGGGATTGCGCCACTGCACTCCAGCCTGGGTGACACAGTGAGACTCCGTCTCAAAGCAAACAAGCAAACAAGCAAACTAGCAGAAAAACCAAGTAGCACCAAGCAGGTGTGAGCCACCATGCCTGGCTAATTTTTTTTTTTTTTTTTTTTTTAAGAGAGAGATGGGGTCTTGCTATGTTACCCAGGCTGGTTTCAAACTCCTGGGCTCAAGCAGTCTTCCCACCTCAGCCTCCCAAAGTGCTAGGATTACAGGGATGAGCCACCATGCCCAGCTCATGTATTTTATTTTATTTTATTTTATTTTATTTTATTTTATTTTATTTTATTTTATTTATTTTTTGAGACAGAATCTTGCTTTGTTGCCCAGCCTGAAGTGCAGTGGTGCAATCTCAGCTCATCGTACCCTCTGACTTCCAGGTTCAAGTGATTCTCATGCCTCAGCCTCCCAAGTAGCTGGGATTACAGGCATGTGCCACCACACTCAGCTAATTTTTGTCTTTTTAGTAGAGACAGCGTTTCACCATGTTGGTCAGTCTAGTCTCGAATTCCTGGCCTCATGTGATTCACCTGCCTTGGCCTCCCAAAGTGCTTGGCTTACAGGTGTAAGCCACCATGCCCAGCCCATGTATTTTAACATAATAAAAAAAATAGGAAGAAATCATGTCAATGTTATATGCTAATAAACTTTAGCAGTACTTAATATTTGTAGTAATAAAGTTTCTTTC